CATCAGCTTTCTTCACCACATTTGCTTATTCACCCGCTTTGTCTTCAGCGGTTGTGTCGGGAAGGTGAGCATCATAGAATGCCAATTTACTAACTAAATGTTTTGATCTGCATGTTTTCTTTAGCATCCTCTTTTTTCTTTTAAAGTTAGAATTATGTTGGGTTTGGGGGGGCTTTTTAGTATTCATCCTTATTGATACACGTAGCTCCAACCAGTTCATTCTTTTTAACTTGGACACAACATTCCAATATGACCATACAGACCACAGCGTACCACCCCCCTCCTGTTTTATCACATATAACCTACTCCTAGCACTTGTTGATTTTCAGCGACTTCTACCTTGGTCTGTTTCGTGCAAGCCATGTGTAAATTTCTGGAGGAGTGGAATTACTGGGTCAAACACAAGAGCAACTTTGTGAGCTTGCCAAGTTGCTCTCCGGACGGGGGAATCAATTTACACTTCCACTCAGCCTGCTATCAAAGCTCTGGGTCTCTGACAACCAAAAGGTTCTACAAGAATAGAGAATATGCGAAAGGCAGAAAATGGTTTAATGTATTTTAAACACATGATCCTAGAAGCCTAGTAATACGTCTCTTATAACTTTCTTTCTTTCTTTTTTTAATCATTCTATTGGGGGCTCGTACAACTCTTATCACAATCCATCCATTCATTGTGTCAAGTACATTTGTACATTAGTTGCCATCGTCATTCTCAAAACATTTTCTTTCTCCTTGAGCCTTTGGTATCAGCTCATTTCTGCCCCCCTCCTCCCTCATAAACCCTTGATACTTTATAAATTATTATTTTTCATGCCTTACATTGACTGATGTCTCCCTTCACCCACTTTTCTGTTGTCCGTCCCCCAGGAAGGGGGTTATATCTAGATCATTGTGATCGGGCCCCTCTTTCTCCTCCACCTTCCCCCTCCTGGTATTGCTACTCTCATTATTGGTCCTGAGGGATTTATCTGTCCTGGATTCCCTGTTTCCAGCTCTTACCTGTATCAGTGTACATGCTCTGGTCTAACCAGATTCGTAAGGTACAACTGGGATCACGACAGTGGGGGTGGGCAGGAGAGGAAGCATTAAAGAACTAGAAGAAAGTTGTGTGTTTCATCAGTGCTATACTGAACCCTGACTGGCTTAGTCTCCTCCCCAAGACCCTTCAGTAAAGGGATGTCCGGTTGCCTACAGATGGGCTTTGGGTGTCCACTCCGCACCCCCCCCTCGCGTGTTTTTGTTTTCCTTTATCTCTCAGAAGGAAATGCTGGGCCACCTGCAGGCGTGGCCAGGGAAACACCGGGATTCTCTCACCTGGCTATCCATTCAGCAGTGCCCTCAAAGAGGTCTGGAGCGATGATGTTGGTCAGAGACGCCACCGAGGCAGCGCAGTAAGCACTCCTGGCAGGATAAAAACAGAGGAAAGAAAATGGTAAGCTTTCAAGCGAGCACTTAAACAGGACTCACCGCACTTGGGCAGGTTGTTCTTTTTGCCTCCTAAGCTCTCCTCACTCTTGGCACATGGACAGTCTCCCTGTCTCCCACTGAGAGGTTGGACGTTCTATTTGGACAGAGGGGCTCTCACACCATGACTTCAGAGAAAGAACAAGACATTCTATTTCCCCTGCCTCCACCTGGGCACATCTCCACCAGAGGAAACGGCAGCCTTTCAATCCCTACAGAGAGAACTGAGCCCTTTTTCCAAAGACCTATCATGGCTCCCACAATTCCACAGGGCCGTTCCGGTGTTTCTGATATGCTCATTCATTCAGACGTCAGTACTATTTTAGATCCAGAGAATCAGTCGGTGTGTGGCTGATGAACACATTAAAGGCACTCACTACGTGTGTCGTCGTCCCCCACCCCCCCGCCCCCCGCAAGATACATGCCAAAGCAGGCCACCCAGCCCTGATAGCTGCTGAGACTGAGCAGGAGGCACGGAGAGAGATAAGCCCACTGAGATACATTCTTTAACTCTCTAGAGCAGCGGTTCTCAACCTGTGGGTCTTGACCCCTTGGGGGGGGTGTAGAATGACCCTCACAGGGGTCGCCTGAGACCACCAGAAAACCCCTATTTCCCAGGGTCTTAGGAACCGAGACCCGCTCCTCTATCCATCTCCAGACGAGTCCGCCCACATGCAGATTCACCACGTACGAGTACCCAGCGTGAAGACTGCTACCCATGCTACACCATGCTTCCAGACAAAATTTCATTTACTTGTCATTAGAAATATTTCACCATATATAATGACATATTGTTTTGTGATTAATCACTATGCTTTAATTATGTTCATTTTGTAACAATGAAAATACATCCTGCATATCAGATATTTACATGATGATTCCTAACAGTAGCAAAATGACAGTTATGAAGTAGCAACGAAAGCAATTTTATGGTTGGGGGTCACCACAACCTGAGGAACTGTGTGAAAGGATTGTGGCATTACAAGGTTGAGAACCACTGCTCTAGAGGGAGATGGGAGTTCTGACTTCAAGCACGTCACCATCCCCCACCTCCACCTCCACACACCTTTAGATGAAAGAGAAAGAGCATGTTGATCTATTTGTTTTCAATGTGATCCAAGCGGCTTTGGAATCCTTGCCATTCTACCCTCCCTGCCCTTTCTTTGCCAGACACATTTGTCAAAGAAGATCCATACACTGCCTTTTCTTGCCCTCTGTGGTCTCTTCAAATATTCGGCATCTCAATCTCATTTATTTTTTAATCGAAGACAAAAACTATCTGTTGTAATTCTGCTCACATGTCCTGTTTTCTAAAATACACACAAGGAAGTTCGAAGGAAGGGCCATTTCCATCCTACTCAATACAGACCCATCATGAGGCCAGACTTACAGGACCCTTCCACAGACCGCTCTGCAGAAGCCGCATTACCACCAGTCCCGCAATGCTGGCCAACTCACGGCACAGGTTCACAACACCCGCAGGCATCGGCGCAAGTGCAAGTCATGGGTGCCAACGCCAAATGTTGCCATTTACCATAAGCTCACTCCATAGGTCTGATCTCATTCCCTCCAGGTTTTGAGCCTCCCAAAGGCCCAACAGCATTTGCTCTTGAATCCTGGGAGGTCGGGAGGCAGCCGATCCTGTCATCGGCCTCTCCTCAGGAGACCAGCTAGGACAGGATGTCAGAGGCCCCTAGATCTCACCCTGAGACAGGGAGGGAACAAAAGATGACTTTTCCCTGTGGTTTCTTCCTCTCTTCTTCCAGCCAGGCACCAGATCTCCCAAACCCGCCCATTGCTCCCCACCCTCCTGCAGCCACCAAACCCAGGCCTGTTATCTTCTGCCCAGATCAGCCTCCTGTCAGACCTTCCACCTTCAGCATCTGTTTACTAAAACCCAACCATGGGCAACTGGAGAACTCCTAATAAAAACACAAAATCAGATCATGCCCCTCCCTGCTTAACACCCCTCAGCGACTTCCCATGGCAGGTAAAATAAACTCCAGACTCCTAGAGGAGAGCTCTGGGCCCTGCGCTGTCTGCCTGTCTGCCAGCCCCCTCAGCCTCAGTGCTCATCCTCTGAGCACCAGCCACACCCCCCTCACCGGCACCTAAACTTTTGCAAATGAAAGGCCTCTCTCCCTGCTGCTCCCAGGACATGATGGAGATTCTCCATAACACAAATGAGGGGTCAGGAATGAATACTTACTCCTCTCTTTAGAACTGAGAAAATACAGTGCTTGTTATGTGATCACTGCTATTTGTTTATTGTAAGTGCGCTGGAGCCGAGCTGTAAATGCAAGGTGAGTTGTCTCAGAAACTATTAAGAGCTGTGATAGTTCAGAACTCACGCCCATCAAAATGCAAATGTAGTGAGCACGAGGTGAGAAACATTTTTCTTTTTTCCTTAAAATGTCAACACAACGCTGTTTTACCTCAATAGTTCTACTGGCTATGTTAGTACATACAGATGCCTAATTTTGGGGGTTTTTTTAGTAGACAGGTCACTTCAAGAGATTCCAAATGTACTGCCAACAAGTTGACTGTTACTCACAGCAATCCTGCAGGACAGAGCAGAACTGCCCCTTAGGGTTTGGGAGGCTTTAAAAATCTTTACCCCAGTAGACTTCAGTGGTGACCAAGGAGGTGGTTTTGGTGGGAATGACAACTTTGGTCAGGGTGGAAACTTCAGTGGACGTGGTGGCTTTGGGGCAGCCGTGGTGGTGGATATAGCAGCATTTGGGATGGTAATCAGGGATTTGGTAATGATGGAAGCAATTTTGGAGGTGGTGGAAGCTACAATGGTCTTGGTCATTGCAATAATCAATCTTCCAATTTGGGACTGATGAAAGGAGGAAACTCTAGAGGCAGGGGCTCTGGCCCTTATGGTGGTGGAGGTCAATGCTCTGCCAAACCATGAAGCCAAGGTGGCTATGGTGGTTCACGCAGTAGCAGTAGCTCGGGCAGTGGCTGAAGATTTTAATGGCTACCAGGAAACAAAGCTTAGCAGGAGAGGAGAGTCCGAGAAGTGACAGGGAAGCTACAGATTTGTGACAAGATTTGTGAACTCAGCCAAGCACAGTGGTGGCAAGACCCAGCTGCTACAAAGAAGAAAGACATGGTTTAGACAATACTCATGTGGATGGGCAAATGAACTTGAGGACCCTGTTTGTGACTAATTGTATAACAGGTTATTGTAGCTTCTGTTCTGTGGACAGTGTAAAGAGTTCCAACAAGGGATTTTAATGTAGTGGTTTTTGTTTGTTTGGTTGGTTTCGCACTCATGCTTCTGATGGCTAAATGTAGTAACAGTCTGATCATGATGCTGCATAAATGTCTTCTTACAATGTGCTGTGCAAAGTTAATGTGCTCTTAAGCCATCTGGAGACCTGCCCCGACAGTGTGAAGTGCGGAGTTCCTGCAGGGTGATGCGAGCGATCTGAAAGACACGTCTCTGTAACCTCAGAGGCTGCTGGGGAAGCGGAGCCACTGCTCTCAGGAACCGTGGGGTCAGTGGAACTGACAGTCGCTGTTGTGTAACCCGGAGCTCGCCGTTAAAAAGTGGTCACCCAGAAGGGAGACATCGGACAGTGCAAGACATGAGAAAATAATAATTTATAAGTTATCAAGGGTTCATGAGGGAGGGGGAAAAATGAGGAGCTGATGCCAGGGGCTTACGCGTGGAAAGCAAGTGTTTGGGGAATGATGAGGGTAGTGAATGTACAGATGTGCTTTATACAATGGATGGATGGATGGCTTGTGATAAGAGTTGTATAAGCCCCCAATAAAATGATTAAAAAAAAAAAAAAAAGTGGTCACCCAGGCAAGCAAATTAGCAGTTTGTATGATTATAAAAAGCCGTTGTTGGCGCATCCATTGCATTATATCTAAAGTGAATGATGGTAGCAGATAAAATTATAGGTGGAGTTGGAACTTACGGGGCAGCCATTATCATGTGTAATCAATAAACAATTTAATCTTGAGTGGGGAAGAAAGAAAAAAACGATTTGCAGCCTCAGAAACACAAAGGCACGTCTGCCCTGCAGGGGCACTGACTGAGACTGGCTGGTGCGGGGAGTGAGCTGAGGGGAGTCCCGGGAGCAGCGCGCCGCGCCTGGTAAAGCAGGAGCATGGTGACGGAGGAGTGCCTCGATGAGCCGGCCACCCGGAGAGGGCGACATCCGTCGCTCAGCCAGCGCTGCCGGCTGTCAAGGTGACAGGCCGAGCCGGAGTCAACGTGAAGGCACAGATGAAAGATTAACTTGCACGAAACTGTTAAACAGAAATGGAATCTCCCACGCAAATTCTCACAGAAAACAGAATAAAGTGCGATTTTAAAAACTGTGTCATAAAGGCTACCATAGGCTAGAGTACGTTGTTTTATATCACATGTCCTTAGAGCCTTTTAAACAGAAGCATTTTTATTATAAAGTGTTACTTACACGTTGCTATTTACATAGAAGTGGTCTGGTGAACATGCTTTCTGAAGCGCACTGCTGGGGGAAATGGGCCACCCCAGGCCACCGTATTACACCCGCCATGCCTATGACACCAGGTCGTGAAGGAGCTGCGTGGCCAACGTGGCAGCTCTCCCACAGGACTGAAGCTGACCTTGTTTCTTAGGGTTGACGTCTCTAGTGACAGACAGGCCTTACAAGCACTCACCTCACATCTACCTCTCCTCCGACATGCATGAGAAAAGAGCCATCCGGCTGCTTCAGGGAGTACAGATACTGAAGCAGCTTCTCTCTGAGAAACAACAGGGGGAAGAAAGGCAAGAGAGGGCAGTGGTCAGTGCAGGGTCCGCCAGCAAGGGGACCTTTGGGGTTGTGGCTGCTGGTTCGGGTTGTACCTGTGAATGATGTCATAGGCCTCCTCGGTACCAATGATGCATAGTGCGTTGACCGCGGCATATGTGGGGGCCAGGTGGGGGTACTGGCCAGGGCCCCCTCCAAAGCCACCTTCTGGGCTCTGGCACAGCTCCAGGAACTGGCAAACGCTAGACAGACAAAAGGGAAACAAAGTCAGAAAGCATACTGTGGCAAAACACCAATCCCGGGCCTTCCCACTGGTGCCCGGTACCCTCTCCCATACGGAATATAAGCCACCCCCCAAGGGGCCTAGCTCTCTACCCTGCTGCCATCAGGCTCTGCCTTCTTACTGGAGTTTTATGCGAAAGCCTTTGCCTAGTCATGAAGCAAAACCTGAGACCAGCCGGTGCCACTGTTCACAGAAGTGGGGATAGGAGTGCCCCCTGCTGGCCCTGCTCTTCTTAACCACCTCATGCCCATCCTTTTGTCCGATTCCTCCCTGGGGAGGTGGGGTGCCTCCAGCCTTTGAGTTTGGCCTAGAAGAGGACTGCTGTTTTCCGCCAGGAAACTTGGTCTAGATCCATGACCTTGGCCTACCATGGTTCTTCTCACTCCTCTTGCCACTTGGGCCGGAGCTGGACTGCTGCCTGGTTAGTTCTATACTCCGACCGGAGCCCGCCTCCGTGGTCAGAAGAATAAGTGAGAGGTAGACTTCTAAGCAGCCACACCTCGCGTGGCCCCCTTCTGAGGTGCACAGTGGGAAGGTCGCGCCGCCCCCGGGTTCTTGGAGAATGTCTCACAGGCGTCCCGAGAGGTTGGGTGCTGTCGGGCGCCATCAAGCCCGTTCTGACGCAGGGCGACCCGGAGGAGAAAGGAGGCCTGTCCCAGAGGGTTTTCTTTGCTGCCGTCTTGACAGGAGCCGCTGCCTGCCAGGGCTCTTCTCCCTCGGAGCTACTGGGCGGTTCAAACTGCCGACCTCTGGGTTAACCATTGCGCCACGAGGGCTCTCAAGAGAGCTCGCTCGCTCTTTCTTTCTTTTGAAGTAGCTCTTGTCTCCAAGTGTGACATCAGGTGACCCAGAAGTAATAGCTTTGCTTTAAGGTGAACCAAGAGAGCCCCAGCTTATCTGCGCTTACCAGAAAGGGGTGTTCCAGGAAAGCCCCTGGCCCTCAGGGTGTCCTGTGTGACTCAGCAGGGGTCCCAGCCCCCTCTCAGGGCAAGCCTCCCTTGGGAGAGCAAGCGGGGCACCTGTGTCCTGCTAGCCTAGGGCTTAGGGCACTTTCATCACACTTGCCCTTCTCTACCATGGCCAGAGAGACCACGCAGCGCCCAGCTATTCTCCACTAAGACGCTACTCGACTTCGGCCTTCCCTGGATTATCTGGTTCCCTTTGATTTCAGACCTTCCCTTATCTTGAGCAGTCAGCAAGACACTTTGGCTCGAGTTCTGATTTAATCACAGATCAAAACCAATACATTCCCTCTGTTTACACCGAAAAGTATATGGCAGGAAACAGACGGCCGCTGACGTTGGTCACAGAAGGAAGATGACAGTCTGATGCCACGTTTGTAATAGCAACGAATTCTCAGAGAGAATAGAATTGGGTCTTAATATATCATTTCCCCATCATCCATTCTTACTCCATTCTTCAGAAACAGGAAGCTTTTTGCATCTCACACACACACATCTAAAAAGTTTTAGCCACACCTTGTCATTCTTGTCCTCCCCCAGTTCTCACAGCTGACTGCAACACTGAAGAGCGGGGACCTGAATGGACCAGACCTCTGTAAGTCCCCTCCCGTGCCAGCCTCTCTCAGGGACAAGCTGGGTGGTGCAGGAAGGTGGTGGGATTTGCTTGGACCTCAGACACTTCCAGCTTACAGAACATCCTGATCCAGTTTATGAAACTGTACCTTAAGGAACTGGCCTATTGGAGCAGGAAGCTACCAGTCTTTTGCAGAATTCTTAGCACGTTGGAAAACCAAGGTGTTGTTCGTTCATGAGAATTCTATCTTAGCAAAAGGGGGAAGAAAGACTATTTTAGAAGCCAGAAACTCATCAACTAATTAAACGAGTTAAATCAAAAGCAGGAAACACGGTGCAGTGAAAAGGAAGTTCTGTGAAAGGCAAGTCTTCGAAAACTCCTCTGCTGACTTCCGTGATGAAAGTACCAGTAGATCAATGCTCTGTAACGTCACGGAGTACTTCTTCCTAGCTGTGTGACGATTCCGAGTAAAGGAGAAAGCTATCTTCTGGGGCAGGGATTTTCCAACCTGAAAGGCGTGTATCAGAGGAATCACAAAGAATACACAGACCACAGCTTGCTGCAGGAACTCAGATGCTGAGCCTAGTTTTACCAAAGTCCCAGGTGATGCAGATGCACACAGAGTTTGGGACCCACTCCTCTAGGCACAGAGGACCACTTGGGGGATGTTTGG